AGCTTTATTGTACCATCAACCACCAGAAAAATCGTTCTGGAAAGTGGGACAAGGGAAGTGGCAAAGCAACAGGTGTAGAATATCCAAAGGTTACTTCCGAAGGACACAGGAAAAGGAAAGAGATCCAGGTATGTGGTCAGTTAGACCAAACGACAATTTTAACTAATCCTTATAGGAACTCTTAAACTGCTGTACCATAGTAGAATTGGTTAGTTGGAGAATCATTTAAAATTTCTCAGAGTGTGTTGTTTGTATGGTAGGCTTCTGTCTTTGATCTAAGTAGCTCAAACAAGTCTCAGTGCCTTTCCAGGAAAAAGGCGAGATCAAAATATCTTAAAACATCAATTATGCTTTCTTTACCTTTGTTCTTATTTGTCTTTTTTCTCTTTCGTTATTTGTCTCGGGAAGCAGGTTCCTGCTGTATCTGATTTATAGTTACCTGCAGGTTGTGCTTTAACAGTGCTGAAGACAGTGGTGCTAAGTTGAGGTTGTAGATTTTGACTGCATATTGCTACCTAAACATCTCTGGGCAGCAATAAATAGCGCTTCATAAAAATTGTAATTATTATTTGAATTTTCTTACTCTTGGTCTCCTGGAACAGGTTGCCCAGAGGGGTTCCCCATCCCTGGAAGTGTTTAAGACCAGGTTGGATGAGGCTTTGGGGAACATGGTCTAGTGGAGGGTGTCCCTGCCCGCAGCAGGGGGGTTGGAACTAGGTGATCTTTGAGGTCCCTTCCAACTCAAACCATTCTATGATTCTACTTTAAATGCTGGAATTATTTTGTCTTGCTGAGTGTTGGTTGTAAGCTTCTTGAGTTTCTGTATTTGGCAGTTTAGACGTATGAAGACCAAGTCTGGGCCCTAAGGATTCTAGGTGAAAAGTCTGGAGTCAAGCTGTTTTAAAGCGGAGAAAATCTTCGTGATTACTTCAGTTGAATTTGGCCATTGCCTTTTGGAAGAGAAATGGAAATTAATTTCCTGAAAGGGGTCCTTGACATGGATTTGGTGATTATAGTAAGAAATTACAGAGCTTTGGTGTTCTGTAATATGCATTAATGCTGAAAAGCACAGGAATAAGTGCGAAATACTTCTTTTTTTTGTATTGCCAGAGGAAAGTGGTAGTGTTATCATTACTAATAAATTTCATTGAAATGAGTTAGGGTTTGCTTTTTTTTTTTTTTTTTAATAGAAACAACTCAAACTTGGTCTGTATGTCAAGTAAGCTAATGAATACATGTTTGGGGAAGAAATAGTCTTTTTTGAGACTATGAATGGTTTAAAAAATATTTTATTTAAAGATAATTATCATAAACTTTGCAACATTAGGACCATTAATCAGAACACTGACCATTTAACCATGAAATTAGGATCCAACATTTCTTTATGGTTATAGTATTTAGGAGATGATTTTATTTTATATTCTGTGCATAAGACTAATCTTTCAATGTCTGTTTGGACCTTAAAAACAACATCTAGTCCTTTGCCTGTTAAAATCACTCATGAGATAACAGACTGCAGTAATACTTAAATGAGAATAAAGGTTCACTGTTCCAGGTGCCTGATGTTGCATTGAACTCGTATGGCTTTAGAAAGTAGTATCTTTTATCTGCTGTTGTAGTGTTCATTTTTAAATATGTATAGAGAGACACATGACCCGCCTCAAATAAGGAAAGAAAATTGATGGCAAAATGGTGAACTGAATTTTAAAATCCAAATGTTGGTAATATCTGTGATGCTTGGCAGAAGAGAAATCAAGATTTATTTATTTTTCTTAGTTGTGAATATCTGTGGTTCAGAGACAGATATTTATTTATAGCAGGAGCCCTACTCCTAGAGAGACTGCTGTACGAATCTTTCAGGCAAGTGCTGCATTTTGTAGCTCAGATTTTTTTATGAGAGCCTATTGTCAGCTCTGCTTCCAGAAAACTTGGTTACAGCTTTTTTATTTATAGATGCTGAACCCATCCCAGAAGGTTTTTATCTATTCCAGTTTCTGTTATTTCTGAAGTGCTCTTCAAGCTGCCATCTGGTAGCAGGTACAAAGCTAAAGGTTGCGCTATTCAACTGCTGAAGGGCTTTGAAAGCACTGCACTGAGTATTCTAGTCCAAATAGGAATATTCATGTCAATATTCAGTATTGAATGGCGGCTTATATTTATTTCTGCGGGCTGGTATGCATGTGCATGTAAATGACTTGGGTTTATTTTTTTTCCTTACTTTATACTGTCTTCCCTTTTGCTGGGCACATATTCAAATTGCTTCTGTTCTCTGAAAGAAGATACATATCTACTACATCTGTCTAGTGCACTCTACTAGGGCTGAAATAGCTTTATGAAGCTAAAAACCAGTTCTTGTCAGTATGCATGAGAGTAAAAATTGCCTCCTTTCAATGTTGAAATTGTTTTGCATTGCAGGGGTGATAGCAGAGGTTCAATAAAAAAGTAATAAAAAAGCCTCTGTTCATTTCCATCGTGGCTAGTGTTATGAGTTACTAATGGGATACTAATTGCTATGATCAAGGAAAAAAAATAAAAATCTCTTTCATAATTAAAGTTTAAATTCAACGGAGTTGCAGAGATTGGTCTGTGCTGCACTGTTGGATTTGAAGCCTGGGGAAGCACTGTCAGTTAATTGCTGTTAATAAAGCACTAACCTTCTCTGTATTTTATATAACCAAAAAGCTTGTGGACTAGATGCATTACACTTACAGAGTATATTCTTTTTCAAACAGCTGTAAAGTTATAATGTGTCATAAAATATAAATTTATTATAACAAAGTTGTGCTGCTTGCATCCCTGCAGCTGGAACTTCTGTTTGGGTGAATGGTGAAGATGTGAAATTAGTGTTTTGCCTAAGCCGTGATCTTACCACATCTCTCCTTTTTCTTGTTTTTGTTGAGCTGAGTTTTCTCCACCCGGAGAACTTTGTGTAATGAGGATCACAGGGTGAGAGAACTTGCCCTGTTTTGAAAGGACTTTGCTCCTCCATGCCAATAGTACAGAACTAGAGATCAATGTGAATTTACAAAGCAATGTGTTTATCTTTAAAGACAGTTTGTCCCTCCAGCCAACCCAGCAGCCTTGAAAGGCTTTTGATTTGAGAGGGTAGGAGTATAGGATTCAGCTTAGATGTTTATTCTCCCTCTTTCCATAGCAGAAATATTTCACACTTTGCGGTCTTTCGTGAAAGTACAGCCAATAAATGATCTTGCCACAGCAAAGGGGTTCTATAAGGCTGCCTTGACAGGCCACATTGGCTCATGAACTTTGGACACACGACTTGGAGAATGCCCAGCACTGAACAGAATCTGATCAAGGGCAGGCTCTTTCCCACAGAAACCGTGCACTCTTCTTGCTAGAATGGGATGTGGAAAGTGCACTGGTGCGTGAGGATAAAGTCGAGGCTGACTGTTGTGTGGTGTAGCAGTGAGACACTGATCAGTCTGTGATAAATGTCCAAATAACAATAGAATCAAGGTACAACAAGTCGAGTGATGACTATAACTTTTTTTGCTCTTTAAAATCTGCTTTCTGTTCATTTTGGTTAGTATCTCAGGAATTTCTGTTCTCTTGCATGTGTGTGTGGGTTTTTTTTTCTTTTTTTTTTTTTTTTTTCTAGAATGCAATCTCCCTTTCATCGGATTCAGCTTCTGCAAGCAGCAGCTCTTGGGGACCAAGCTCTGCTCTTAGTAACAAGCGACGGACACGGATGTTAAACAAAGGTATCCAAGCAGGTGAGTTGTTGAATTCCAGACTTGTCTTTTCTGTATTTGCTTCTGCCTTTCATCTCTTTGGAAACCGTTCTCCAAAGTCTGTTGCGTGTTTCTGGTGATGGGTATGTACGCGCAGCATTCTTCAAATTCACTTCAAATGCTTTTAGAGAGAGATGTTACGTTCTAATTAAAATGAGCCGTTTCATTGCCTTTCTTGGTCTGCTCGAGTAGTAGCCAGTTTTTTTTACTCATAGGTTTTATTAACCTAAGCTTTTGGTCCATTTTAATGGTAAAGGTCGACTAACTAATTTTTTATATATTGTTTTCTCCACAAGACATCTGTTACTCACAGAACGTATTTTGTAGGCATATGCTATTTCAGAAGGCAACCACAGTGTTTCATATTCTTCTTGGTAATATTTTGGATGTTATATTCTATTTAAAACAGAAGCTGATCCTGGACTGATGCAGTTCTGCATTTGGGTATTTCTGGTGGCAATTATCAGTTTCTTCATTGCTTTCATTTACATGCCAAGTTCCCATCATCAGACTGAGTAGTGGCTTTGTTTTATTCATCAGACATATCAATTATTTATTTATTACTGCCTTTTTTTTTCATGTGCAAGTGGATTGAATCAGAAAAGTATTTTCATGGCTTGTTTTCAAGATTGTGTTATGACTTTTTGAATGTTAGTTGACACCTTCCACTTCATATGTTTCTGCTAAATATTTGTGGTGGTGTTTCTGTTAAATATTTGTAGTGCTGTGAGCAAGCCAGTCTTCTATAGTTAAAACATAGTTTTGGATGGGATGCACTGGATACAGTAACAGGTCTAGAAAAATCTGCAGTTCCATTGTCCAAAATGTAAAGCTGTATGTTGACCTGCCATTGTGTCTTTCAGCAGCATATTTGGAGTTGAGTCTTCAGAGAATCAACTCAGCATATATATATATATGCTTGTTTTGCTTGGGATATTTGGTTTTAATTTAATTTTACTCAGATTATCATATAGTAACAATCCTGAGTCACTGTAAACTCTCCTTGAATCAAAAGTGGGAATATAAAAGATTTTGCCTTTTGAAGGTTGGATAAAGAATGTGGTTCTTCAGCTTCAAAGTAGAAATTGAGGGTCGCCCCCTGAACTATGCATGTCACACGTGCTGATGTTAAAGTAGTTCCAGCTGCTCTGGAATAAGATGTTACTGCTTCATTTTCAACTACAGGAGACTTGGAGATTGTGAACAGTGCAACTAAGAAAAACACTCGAGATGTTGGTGTGACTTTTCCTACCCCAAGATCTAGCCAGCCAAATCAACGACCACGGGAACCCTGGCATTGTGTTGGTGGTATTTTTGGAGAATCAGATGGTATGGTCACAGATCATCAGGCAGCAGGAAGCAAGGGTAAGCAGAAGGGACAGCCAGGCAGATTTTTCATGGAGAAAAGGATGAAAAGGAACAGAGTGCATTTACCACAAGGTCAGTCCAAAATACGCTTTCTCTGCAGAGCAGAAAAGCTGTACATCTCAACAGCAACCAGAAAAATACAGGAGTAGGATTAGCTAGGTCATAGAATAGTCTGTCACTAGTACAGTCAGTTTTTATTCTGTTTTTAATCAAGGAATTTTAAACAAAACCACTGGGTCAAGTGAGCTCTCTAGTGCTCTATTATGATGGCATTTTCAATCAAGCTGTTAGATGCAACCTAGCCAGTAAAGGTAGTAAATAGGAAGCAATGAATAAGGCAAGGAAAGATGAATGGGATGGGAATCATGTAGATACTTAATTTTGATTTTCAAGGTATAAAATGTTCTGTTAAACTCTGAGTCACTGGAAGTTGTACTCACTGTTTCATGTACTGAGGCTTCAAAGAACAAGTATTTTTTCAGGACTACTTGTGTTAAGATTGTGGTACCAGAAGAACTAGACTCATCTCCCTCTCTTAGCTAGAGTTGCATTTTTGGACTGATGGTGTAGCCTCCTGACTCTTTTTTTTTTTTTTTAAATTTCCTGTCCGTCTTCACAATGTCATGATTAAATGTTTAAAAATGTTTTCCTTAGTCATTGTTGTTGTTGTAGTGACAAATCTCTCATACCAGTTTAATTTAGAATATCTGCTCAGAGTACAAGCTGATGTATTCAAATCGCATTATGTATGTAAACTGTGAGTAATCTAATTCTTGTATACACATTTAACATTTGGAAGATGTAAAGCATTTGATCTTCAAAAATATCTATAAAAAGCCATGGGGCTTAGGACAGCACAGAGGATTCTTAAAAATTTGTAATTACTGATAAATAACTATTCTTTCTATAAGAGAGAAACTTGCAAACTAAGCCATTTTGTGCTTTTTCAAAAGTGTTGATAAAGAATTGCTGGTTTTCTGACACTTGGCAAAGGAATTCTGATACAGAGTCCCACTGTTATTAAACCAAAGTGAGTATTTACCACAGTGTTAGGCCACTGATTGAATTTAGCTTCGACTTTGGGCATTGTCGTGGTTTAACCCCAGCTGGCAGCTCAGCATCACCCAGCCACTTGCTCGCTCCCCTGCAGCAGGATGGAGGAGAGAATAAGAAGGGTAAAAGTGAGAAAACTCTTGGGTTGAGATAAAGACAGTTTAATAGGTAAAGCAAAAGCCGTGCACAAGCAAAGCAAACCAAGGAATTCATTCCCCACTTCCCATGGCAGGCAGGTGTTTGGCCATCCCCAGGAAAGCAGGGCTCCATCACGCGTAACGGTGACTTGGGAAGACAAACGCCATCACTCCGAACGTCCCTCCCTTCCTCCTCCTTCCCCCTAGTTTTATTGCTGAGCATGGCGCCATATGGTATGGAATATCCCTTTGGTCCCGGCTGTGCCCCCTCCCAACTCTTTGTGCACCCCCAGCCCCACTGGTGGGGTGGTGTGAGGAGCAGAACAGCCCTTGGCTCTGGGTGAGCACTGCTCAGCAGGGACTAAAACACCTCTGTATTATCAACATTGTTTTCAGCACAAATCCGAAACACAGATCCATACTATCATCTACTATGAAGAAATTTAATTCCATCCCAGCAGGAACGAAAACACCCCTGTGTTACCAGCACTGTTTCCAGCACAAATCCAACACACAGCCCCGTACCAGCTACTGTGAAGATTAACTCCATCCCAGCCCAAACCACCACAACCATAAAGGACCATAGATGGGGATGGGAAATAGGCGCATGTGTAATACAAATTTTTATTCTCTTCTGTGGTCTTTTAACAGGGCTTTCGTGGTTTGTCCAAGCAGAAGACTTGAAATCTGAATCTAGAAAAGAAAACCATTCCAATGTCTTTACTGGTCCTGGTCCATCTTGGTTTGAACCATTGTCCAGCACAAAGCCTTGGAGAGAGCCTCTCCGAGAGAAGAACTGGCAGGAGCAGCAGCGCAGCACCGTGATTCAGCCAGCAGTTCCAGAAAGAGATGCTGAGAACAGGGCCTCCCGGCCGTTTGTGAAGCTTACGCTACAGGTAAAGGCATGCTGTACTATCAGGCTGCTGGGATCTCAGCAGGATTTCAGGAGTAATGCTGAATCTTGTAGAAACACAGTTTGTTCCTTTTTTATTTGTTGTTTTTGTTATTTCACCTTTATAATCAGTAGAAGCCAACGTGTTACAGACTAGTCCTGCTTAAAAATCCAAAACCATCCAAGAAAACCAAGGAATTTGTCAGTCCTGTTTGGTTTCAGTTATCTGACTTTCCACAATATGGTAATATATTTGAATTGACCTAATATTTCAGGGCTTAAATCATTTGTCTTCAGGAACTAGAGGGATTGTAGCTGAAGTAGTGTCAAGTCCTACTTGCTTCCATGCAGAAATAATTTTGAGAGATGTATGTAGTATGTGATTAAAATAGGCTCTAATTCATACAGAGTAAACAGTGTGTGTACCTATATATACATACGCATGCATGTACAGTATACACTTTAGATCAGGTGTGATCACTCGGTATCTGTGGAAAAATACCGATGTACTGTACAGAAATATTTCTGAAAAAGTTCATCCGCAGCAAGTGAAATCTAAATTAGGAAGCAGTAATTTAGGTGTGCTTTGGAAGTTTCTTTAAGTTCACTTGCATTTGCTCACGTGCTCAGAGACTGCCCTGTGCTGGAAATTGAAGCGTGGCAAGCAGAGGTATCAGGAGATCGCTTTCAAAATTCCCCTTCTGATCCAAAATGAATTGCTGATGTTGATGTGCCCACTGATTTTATAGCAAGGGAGACTGTAATAAGTTACAGAATCACCTATCCCGTGGGCTCAACTTTGTTAAAGTTGCTGTGCTGTTTTGAGGAGAGGTTTGTGTCCCTTTTGCTAATTTTTTTAGCAATTTTTTTTTTCTTTCTGGCCAGTTAGTTTTCTGATTCTTGACAAATAGTTTGTTAAGGATCCCTGAGGATCTCCCCAGCATTAAGGATACAAGATTTTGTGTTATACCAAATACTACTTTGATGGGATTTTTTTTTTTCCATGTTTTGGTAATGGTGTTAGATATTTTGATTATTCCCTTCCACCTGTAGGGAGACAGTCTGGCCACTTCAGACTTTGTTTTGTGTCATCCCATCTTAGGAGGCTCTTGCATTGCATCGCCCTGATTTCATCTCCCGCTCTGGAGAACGTGTGAAGCATCTGAAGCTTGTAATGGAGGAAAGGAGGATACAGAGTGTACTGCAGTCTGAACGAGAAGAGCTATTTAATCCTCCGGAGAAAAGGAAGGGCTACAGGAACGCAAGTCACATTCTGTCTGACAGAGGTACCTTCATGGTTCTGCTCTTTATGTTCTATAGGAATTAATGAATTTCCATATTATACTTAAGGGTGTGTGTATTTTCAATAAAAGTATTACAATTATTTAACAATATTGTCCAGAATAAGAATCCATATAACAATATTGTCCAGAATAAGAATCTATAACTTATAAAGGAGTCATATTGCTGCAGTAGTATTCTTTGTGAGAAGTAGACTAACAAGTCTACAATTTTCCATTTAGGTTTTCTGATGAGAGAAAAGAGAAGAACAATCCCAAAGAGTGAAATGGTTCAAAGATCCAAACGGTAAGGTTAATAAAACTTTGTTTCAGGTAGGTAGGTGATCTGAGTAAATGGGTAGGAAAGATGGAAGAATTGTATCTGCAGTCAAAGAATTGGCTGTTCCGGGTAACTCAGCTTTTTTAGTGCAAGATGTAGACACATCAGAGGAAGAGGATTTCTCTAACTAAACCTGAGTATTCTGCTGCAGGACCTGCCATCCAAGCACTACAGCAAATTCTGCAACGCTGGACCCCGAAAGGAGAGGAAACGCAGGGTGTGGGCTGCTAGAGCATCTGTGTGGTTTTAAACATTACCAAACTAGATCATTGGTGCCGGAAGTGAGGCCATTTCACCAAATGAAAGTAGCTTTATGTAAGAAATAATTACCCTCAAAGGAATGCAGAGGCTTTTACCCTTGAAGAAAACCACCTTACGGTGGATTTGCCTTATTTTTCACTCAAGTAATTAATATATAAAATGCACAGCACGCTAACAATGTATTAAACATTTGGAATACCTACGCTACAGAGAGAGCATGTGAAGGTATAATAAAAAATGGAGTTCACTGCAGCTGGATTCTGAAATGGTAGCGGGGACAAGAGGAGGTGGTTTGGAAGAGTACAAGTTGAGAAACAGCATAAATACTAAAAAGTAAATTAGAGACTCATGAAGTTGTCTGATACCTTGAAAAGTTCCATAAAAATACAATGATCCTGTAAGTTATTTAGATTCAAAACAAAACAAAGGTCAAGAGTATATTCTGAGGCAAGGGATGTTTAAGTAGTTGGGATTTCAGCGTATATGTAAGTGCTTTGTTGCACTGAAGTTTTGGAATGTACATGCTACATGAAGGGAAGGGTTTGTGCTGTGTGAAAGGGACAATGCTGTAGGCCAGGACTGTTTCACAGCATCTTCATCGGTAGTAGCAATGGGATGGAGTGCAACTTGACAGGTTTGCTGGTGACACCAAACTGGGAGGACCAGTCAGTATGCTGGAGAGTAGGTCTGCAGTTTGTAGAGATCTCTGCAGGCTGGAGGAGGAGGCCAAGAGGAATCTCATGAAGTTCAGTGACAAATATCAAGTCTATCCATGGGACAGAACCATCCCCCAAGGAACATCACCCACCTTGGCACTGTCTGAGGACAGACTGCCTGTGGAGTGGCCCTTCTGGAAAGGGCCTCGGGGGCCTGACAGCTGATGGACGGCAGGTTGAAGATGAGTTGGCAGTATGCTTTTGCAGGGATGAAGGCCAGCTACGTGCTGCATTTCACATAGGTGAAGTGGGTATTCCCCCTGCTTGGCACTTGCGGGGCCACAGCTGGATCCTGTCTCCTGTTCTGGACAAGAGAGAGGTCAACAAAGTGGCCTGAGTCTGGTGGAGGCCACCAAGACAGTCAGGGGGCTGGAGCAGATGGTGCATGAGGAGAACCTGCAGAGGCTGGGTTTGTCTGGCCTGGGGAGGAGGAGGCTGAAGGTGAGGACCTGGCAGTGGTGCTTCCCTGCCAGATGAGGGATTTGGAGAAGGCAGAGGAAGTGGAGGTGCCCAGAGACAGGACAAGCAGTGGTGGTGATGTGTGGCAGTAAGGAGACAAGGGAATCTGTTTTTCCTGGAGAGGGTGGTGATGTGCTGGGCCAGGGCCCACAGAGGTGGTCGAATCTCCATCCTTGGAAGCAGTTCACAAGTTGATGGGATGAGGCCTGAACAACCTGATCTAGCCTTGACGTTAGCCCTGCTTCAAGCCGGAGGTTAGACTAGAGGTCCTTCCCAGCCTAAGTCACATTGTGATTCCACAAAATACCTACTGGATTATGCAATATATAAAATAGACTCCTTGATATATATGCTGGGAGAGTCCAAAAAGAATGTTTTATGTCTATAGCCTTTGGCATTTCAGAGTATTTTTAGGGCATTAATGGAGAGGTGGCAGAAGTGGTAATACTGTAAATATGTCAGTTCCCCAAGGAATGCATCTCCATGTGTTTTAGCTGAAGTAGAAGGATTTGGGTTTGGGTCACTTGGACTGTGACATCGATGTATCTGAACTCGTGTATTTTCAGAAACTCTGATTTCATAATCACCGAAGTCAGCAGGACTTGTACAGAGACTGCTTCAGGCAGTCACACTTGGTGACTTTTTTTTTTGTTCTTGCTGCTGTCATACTCCAGCTCTCAGTTGGAGCTGAGAAGTAATTTATTCTGTACCATTCTTTTGAAATCCACACCTATAATGAATGCAGAAGCTTTTTCTTTTTCTCTGTGAGGATATAAATGGAATTCTCACGGCAAATTAACTAGAGGTAATGAAAACAATTTTCAATTAATTTATCTACAATTCTGCATTGCCCACTTCTTGTTCTAAACATCTTTGTGGTGGATGATTTGTGACGGTTGTGGGGAGCCCTAGAATGGCGAAAGCCTTTAGAGAATGATCTTTAAGGTCCCTTCCAACCCAAACCATTCTATGATTCTATAATGGTGAGATGGTGGTAAAGCAAAACCCCAAATCTTGGCAGTGTCCCTCCCTCATCCGGTAACAGATGCATAGACCTAGCACCCTCTGCTGCCTTCCAGCAAAGCGTAAGAGGAGTAAAATAAACATCAAAATGTGATTTATTTCCTCTTTTCTGTAGCGGTAATGTGGGTAGTGACTTTTTAGAAAAGATGATTTTCTAAGAGCACCTGCAGACAGAGTAGGAAAATAGGGATGCATGGCAAGAAAGGTCACTAGGAATGCAGTTGCTCTTTCCCCTCCCCTTCCCCCCCCCCCCTTTTTTTTTGTGTTGGATGTGTATTTGCTCGTCAGTTCCACTGCGAAGTCTGATGGACTGGTAAACACATTTGTGCGGGGGACTGTAGGAGCTCCAAATGCGTATGGCTCTCCCTAGCTGATGTTGGTGAATTAGACAGAAGATACTGATTCAGTACTGATTGAGATTTGGATCTGATCTTTGCTGTCTTGATTCTGCCGACTTAGTTTTGCATTATCATACAGCTTCCTATTTGTTTTCCAGCTAACTTCTCGTCCTTCTCTCCTTTGAAACACGGAAGTGACACCCAACTTGTACTGACTAGATAGCAAATGGGTGCAAACCGACACATGTTTGCTTCCCTCACTTCTCTTGCTGGTCTGAAGTATTTCTTATTTTCCTGCTGGAATTAGTACCAAGACAACTGTCAAACATGCCCCTCCTGGCTAGTGGGCTGTATTGTTTTGCAGCGTTCAAACGCTCAATTATTTTGGATAATAGGAGTTGAACATAGATGTGTTTAAAAATATTTGAAGTGCCAACAGTAATTATGCAAAGATATTATACTGACATGAGAATCAAACAGTCTCTAAAAGACACCTTTCACAGCTGGGTAATCATATCAGCTGTATGGTCATTTTAATGTTATAAATATTGCTTTTAGGAGGGTGCTGCTTGTAAGGGCAAGGCATTATGGGCTGTGGGAATTTCCGGTATCACAACTGCTATGTGTTCCACATTTTCCCTGTGTGACACTAGTAAACACCCAAATAATTTTTTCTCTGATGTGGTTGGCCAGTAGCCTTTAACAGAATGTGAAGATAAAATGGAGGATTTTTTTTTTTTTTTTAAAATATCAATAAGTTCCTTCCTTCCAAGTCACTATTTTTGACTTTTTGTATTTGCACTTAAGGATCTATGAGCAGCTGCCAGAGGTGCAGAAGAAGCGAGAGGAAGAGAAGAGAAAAATGGAATACAACTCATACCGCCTGAAAGCACAACTTTACAAAACGGTAGGTGTTTGGGTCAAGTATTTATACTGGAACATTTAGAATTTTTTTTTTTCTTGAGGTCACAAGCATTATAGTAATATTTACTAAATGTTAATTCTGTGGTATTATTTTGCAACTTCTAAGGTGGTTATATTAGCATTCAATCAGGGTCAAAGCAGTCAAGCTTAGGAAAACATGGGACAAAAAATCCCCCTACCTAACCTGAAATCCTTCCAGTACCTACACATGGTGTATGGAAAAATGACAAGGAGGTATGGGCCTGATTAAAGCATACAAAAAAGGTCTTGTACAGTCTTGAGGGCAGAACAGAGGGATTGTGGAGCGTATTTAAAGAAGGTATTCCATGGACAGGCTCTCAAGGCTGCTGGTTTTGCTGTTGTGTACCCTTGCTGTAGATTGGATTTCGCTTACACAATTCACAACTCACTTTGCAACTATGGTTAACAAGCCTGGAGTCATCGTTCATAATGTTTCCCCAGTGGAGAATTTGCAGTCCTGGCAGTAATTTGTTAATTTAAGGGCTGTGGATTTCACCATTAAGTGTTTGTTCAGCCGATAGTGTGGTCTTACCACACTGACACTGATCAGCCTAGGATCTTCTGTCTGGCAAGTTGTGGAATAAACCAGTGTCCCTAAGCAGGAGTGTGACTAACTGAACCACAAACACTTCTCCAGCAGTTCAAGAACAGTTTCAGTGCTGGGGTCTTACCACGCAACCAGCAGCAGCGCAAAGGTGGAGTGAGGACTCCAGGATTTTGGTGAGCAGAAGGAAACTGTGTGGCCTATTTTGCTGGGTTACTCTAGGAATCTGTTGAATCCTGTCTCATTCTGCCATGAAGCAGTGAGAATCCCTGCAGGGAGCTGCTTTTCCCAGCTAACAACTGCTGCTAATGCTCTTCCTCCAGGTTGTCCAAGTTGTGGAACATGTGCTTATCAGACAGACACAAAGCACCGGTTTAATTAATGATAGAAAGATTGAAGAACCCTGTGCTAGAAACTCGCCTGGGTTAAGCATGAGAAGTAACTAGGAAGAGAGTCTTCTGTCCCTGTGCCCTCTCATGTGCACACACCTAATTATCTAGTATTTCTGCGTAAGAAGCAGTATCAATGTATACATAGTGATGTGATAAATGTCCTGATAAAACAGAGGAGGCCCATTTGTCCCCTCTGGGAAGTGCCTCTCCAAAACTGACCAGTGTATCACTTCTTGAGCTGTTCTAGGCATCCATATGCTTAAGCTTTCTCTTAAGACTTAATAAGAACTAAAAAGATAAGAAACAACAGATTGCATTACAAACACCCTAACTACCTGACTTCTCTTCTCGCTCTTTAACTAACCCATGGACCATAAAACGTGCCCTTCTGGAGAACTGTGGCAGCAGGCGATAAACTGCATTATAAGCCTCAGTGATTTAAGGATAAAAATTAAAACTGATATTTTTTTTTTTTCCCTCTGGATCTTAAGATTACGCTTTAGTTTTAGCATTGCAACTCTTTCCTGGCTGAGTTGTCCTTCCAGAGCTGGAATAATAGGGTTAGTTACTTGTTGGGAACAGCAGTAATTGGATTTTAAAAGTCAGGGCTTGTAACACAATGTATTATCCAGAATACCTTCCTAATCTGATTGTGGGTACTTACCACTAGAATTACTGGAATTTGATGCTATGCTTTTGCAGGGCATATTTAGGACATATTTTTTTCACCAGTCTAAGAATCTCCGATGCTGGTACAGTAAGGTCTTAGGAGTTAATGAATGCTGGCAGTCATTGACTTGAAGTAGCATCGTCAGCTGGAAGCAGAGAGGGAATCAGCTCAGAAGTTTTATATAGGAGTGTGGTTTTGATTGGAAGAGGGATGATGATTCATTGCAGTAAATATTGTAATCTTTTTGTCTTCCTTGATGATGCAGAGTAGCTGTAGAGAGGCACCGTATAATATGAATAGCGTGTTTAGAATTTGGTTAATGTATTGCTGAGGGCATCAGTTTCTAAGTGGATCCAATTGTGCATGAAAAAAAGAACCACAGATTTTGTGGAATGACTCCAAAGATGACACAGACTATTAGGAGAAGAAAATGGCTGGTACAAAAGCTAGGCAAAAACCATATGTAGTCCAGGGTTGTATCATTGGAACGATCTCTAGCACTGTATCTCTCCTAGTGACAAGTTTGTGAACTGCTGATTATAGAATC